AGTTAGATCCAGTAAGAATAATAGCGATATACAGCCACGGTCGGAAGCCATAAGCAAGTCGTTTATCACTTTGACTAAGGCCGTTTCTGTGCTATGATTGAGTCTGAAACCAGACTGATACAGTATAGCTCGTTAGCATTATTATTTTGAAGAAAGGAAGACAGCTGGTGAGTAACAACTGGTGAAGCTGGTGAAGCCAAGTTACTTTTCAGCTGCCCCCATATTTGACTGAAAATTGTATGAGCCTTTCCAAATTGAATTTGCGACGTGGTTCTCTGCATTCAGCAAGTTCAGGTTTTGCTTTTTGGAACTTACTGGATTCCCCCCCGAATATTTTTAATCCACGGTTGGTTCTGTCCGCAGATATGGAGGACCAGTTGTATTTAGCAGATGCAAGGGATGTGCAATAGAGAAAGAATGGTCAGCTAGTCCCAGGAGCAAGTAGGATTTAAATGCCTTGCACAAGGGCCCAATGGTGACATCACTCTGCCAACCAGAGGACTTGAACCGACAACCTGCTGATCACGGGCACAGAGTCCTAACCCACCGAACCACAGACCAGCCCAGTAGTACACCTAAACACCCATAGCAATATCACAAGAGGCATGAGAGCAAATGAGCAGTGCTTTATGTACCAGCACGTTATGCATATCACCGTAGACCTAATGTGTTTTTCAGCTAAATTCTGTTTCCCCTCATCCTCACTCATTCTTTCCTAGATTAAAAGTAAACAGAAGAATGAGGGGAGTGTGGGTCTGTACACATACCCTGTCCTCCAGGCTGCTGACATTTTGCTGTACAGGTGAGGTTGCTCATTACCAACACTGTTTACAGAACCTAACTCCATTCTAACATGCCTTACGCAGATGTACTGGCATTAGTAGTATTTGGTCCCCAATAAAATACAATAGTCCCTATAGTTTAGGAGTTTGGCTTTCCTTAGCTATATTTTGGTTTCAGTCTGCATCAGAATTTCAGTGCTTTTTTTGTTATGTCAAAGTACTGGGTGTTTGTTCATGTTCACTGTTCTGTGTTCACTGTACAGGTCCACTCACGTCCCGGTTGGGGAGGACCAGGTCCAGCACCTAGAGTTGGCCCAGGACACAGCCCGCATCTTCAACAACCAGTATGGGGAGATCTTCCCTGAGCCCCAGGCCCTACTTAGTGAGTCACACACACGCACATACACAAACTATTGTATCCTGTAATTATCCCTTTCAGAAGAACACACTGTATCCAGTCAAGCATGCTATGGAGCTTTGATTAGAGGACTTCTTCATCATCCATTCCATTGGCTCCAATTGCTCGTTTCCAGAATGTTCCTTTGGCCTCCTCTTCATTTTAAGCATGCGGGACCAATTCCAGCACAGAGAAAGCAATGATATTTCAGGCGGTTGTCAGTCATTATGCTATTGGCCCCCTCACTTGTAAAATCATATCAGTCAAAAGAACATTACTGGCTCCTCCCTGAAACTCTCATTATAACTTCTCCACTGGTTGCCATTATCATTATCATTACTGCAGAAACTGAAACCCAGGAGTCCATCCAGTCAAGAAAGTGTCTCTCTCAGTGTCTCTGTGCACATCTAGTGTGTGTCATTTTTGGGGTTTTGTACCATAGCCTCCTCAATGAAAAGATTATGAATGATTTTATTAACAATTAAACCCTCATCTCATACCAACTACTCTCTGTGCGGTAGGTTCCATGAGGAAAGTGAAATCTCTCAGAGACCCCACCTCCAAAATGTCCAAGTCTGACTCCCAGAAGTTGGCCACGGTCCACCTCACTGACTCCCCAGAAGACATCGTGCTCAAGTTCCGCAAGGCAGTGACAGACTTCACCTCAGAGGTGACCTATGACCCTGAGCGACGGCCAGGCGTGTCCAACCTGGTAGCGATTCATGCAGCAGTGACTGGTCTCAGCGTGGAGGCAGTGGTGGAGCAGGCCCATGGCTTAGACACAGCCCGGTACAAGCAGGTGGTGGCAGACACCGTGGTCCAAAAACTGACTCCCATCCGGGACCAAATCCAGAAGCTACGTGCAGATGTGGGCTACCTGGAGACTGTTCTGGCTCATGGAGCTAGCAGGGCCCGGGAACTGGCTGCTCCAGTTCTAAGACAGGTCCAAAAATTAGTTGGATTCTGCTGAAAAGATTAGGATGTACATGAAAGACATCATTTATATCTGACTGTTTCCCAAACAAAGTATTCGGCACCTTTGTGCTGCACTTAAGCTTTTGTTGGATCATTTTATATTTATAAGAACTAAAAATTAAAATCTCAGGTGTGGATCTTATCTGATGTGATATTAAATAAACTAAAGAAAATGAGCAAATCCAGGCTCTTGTCACTTTACAGTTATATTTAGGTTGTGAGTAAAGAAAAATTAGTATTTCCAGTTTTTTCTGTGAATAGCAAAACTGACCACTAATACTTTGAAACTACACTGTTAACTATACTTTTTCCATCAATCAATATATGATATACAATAAAGTTAATATTTCCTGTTTTTAGATATTTGTTCATTTGTGCCTTGAGCACAAAACATAACGTTTTCAAATTCTCAAATTTATATAGCGTCAGTGTATAAGTGTATTTTTACCACAGAACGCAGGATTTCTGTGCTGTGTGTGTGTGCTTGTTTGTTTGTGCTATAAGTATTACATTGTGGGGAAAAGATTTCCCCACTGAAGGATAACCTTCATTTTATCAAAATCTGTGAACGCAATCAAAAAACTAAAAATACCCAAAGTCTCGTTTTTTGTTTGGTTATTTATGGTTAAAATTAGGGCTGGGCAGGGTTTAAGGTCATCACAGCTGAGATTAGGGTTATGCCCATACAAATGTAGAATCCCTGTAAAGATATGAATACATGGACAACTCCCTCTTCCTCCCTCCCCTCTCTCTCTCTCTCTCTCTCTGTATACAGTACAGGCCATGCAAATTCAAACCACTGCTCCATCAGAAAGACAGCTTAGCCACATTCTTGTATTCCACGCATAGTGAGTTTTTCAGAATGATTGCAATACTTCAGCCAATAAAAAATTACGTTTTAATCCAATTAAATGATGTAAACCATATTTTGAATTGTTTCCTTCACCACAGTGAACGGAGGCTACAACACATTCAATTGTAGAATATGTATTCCCTTATAGGCTAATGTTATCCTACAAGTGTATGGAAGACCACGAAACTATGCATTTTTCCAAATGTGTCACTGAGAACTATCCTGTTACATCCGAACAAAACTACATTATTTGTGGGTATATTTGGGAAAAGGATCTGGTAAAATATTACTTTGTTACCACGGTAGGCTGAAAACAGCTCCATAATATAGACGTAAAATAAACTAGCTACAGTTTGTTTGCAATGAGAGTTGGAGACAGTGTTCGGCAGCAGGAATAAAAACTCCAGTCTTTCTGCAGAGACAAACGGCGGACTGTGAAACACTTCGTTCTCACTGTGTGCCTTGGCGCGAATTGCCAGAGGCAGACAACGGTTACAAAAATATTTGTAGGGATCCATGGTTCACCCTGGCACTCTCCCCCCAGGATCCAGCTGAAGGAGCGCATGAACTGCGAATGTGAACTTGCTCGCCGTCGGAGGCTTGTAGCTGAATCGTGGTCGCGTGTTCACGTCCTGGCACAGACTTACTTTCTGTTTTTTCATAAGGTCCGTTTAGGTCTCTTTAAGTCTTCGTTTCTTTACGATTCATACACGTGCAGTGCAGTTCTTGATTGTTGGAGCGCTTAATTATTTAGATTATATAGGTTATCAGTTTCCCAAAAAAATCCTTATTTTTATCACCATTCCCTTTAATGCTTGTGTGTTTGAATTTTTTATTTTTTATTATTATTATTTTTTTTGCAATAAATGACTAAAATGCGTATATGCCTCAATAGATTGAAAATCCATTTGTCTAGACTTCCAGTCGTTATTTATTTACCCGACATGGGTCGTTTTTCCGGCGATAATTTATTTACGCAGTAAAAGATAACTTCCGGTACAAGGACAGCCTCCGATCGGGGATTTAAACTGAAGACCTTCAGTTGCTTGCTTTTACGGTTCCTCGGTCGCTACCCGATGCTTTTCCACTAACGCTCCACGCCAGGACGTGGCCTCATACCCTCCGGAAATTTCCACACAGGGGATCCGATTCATCGTTTCAACATCTGGTTCAAAACTGACCCTCAAAGTCATTACACTAACCAAGGCTTCGGAGCGTGGTATTAAAGTTACCTTCCACTGGAGGGCTTTAATACTACTTTTAATTTGCTGTAAATGTTTTAAACATACTTTGTTCTTTTGAAAAAACTTAGTTTATAAAAGTGTAGCAACTAATAACATTAGAGGCGAGTATTTTTTTCTTTTTATTCCAAAATGTTAAAATAATACATACATAAAATAAGATATATTTTGGACATGCTGCTCCCTGAGCGATTTCCCGTAGGCCTATATTATGAATTTAGGAATTCTAGAAATGTTGTAGTATTTACAGTGCTGCCAAATACAAAGTGTATACGGCGTGTATAAAATTTATTTTTAGTATTTCCAGTGCTAACGAATGTAATTATATATGATAAACCAGGTCTGTCTGACAATACGGTTGTTTCAGAACAGCAACCAGATATTGCTACTTTATAACATTTTAATAGCCTAATATTTAATAATAAAATGCACAAGTAAATATGAATTATTTTAATCTTTTTAGACTGAATACATTTATGTGGAAATTAATATATAGGGCCAATTATCTCGTGATTTTCCATTGAAGAAAATCCTTTTTGTAGGCCGCGTTAATTAGGAAATAACAGTTACTGAAAAATCCAGTCAAATTACTTAGCAGCAACCTTTCCGCTCTACAAGCATAGTATCCAATTTTGTGCAGTATTTTTAGGCGGAAGTCGCCGTTGTGCAATATTTGCAATGTTCAGTAAATGAAGAGAAACTGCATTTGCTCTCGAATGCCTCTGGTTTTGTTAAATGAATACTCATGCTAAATTTGTAGTTACGTACATTTTCTGGATGACATTTGTTAGCTTTTAACTACTGACAGATATATTGCGGGCAATATCATCCTGCAGGGCATCACGCGCGTTAAAGATGTAGGCCTAAGTTATGAATGACGGCACCGCTGACTTTTTCCTGATAATCTGGCCAGTGAAATATTTTTTTGCTACTTGGGATTTCGAAACCGCCATCATTAGCCGGGTGGTTTCATGTTAATTCAGAGATCTGCTATGGTCCTTTCATGTTATATTTCATGTTATTGCAAGAACGTCTGCATTTCTTGGTAAGAGTTACAATCATTCGGCACCTGTAAAGTACATGTCAAAACGTCAACATTATCAATTAAGTAATGTGTTTTTTTATAGCTTATTGCAAATTGTTTCCGCACAGCAGTATACATTTAAGTAGTCTAGTATTAATACGCGAAACTTCGAAGTTCGAAAAGAATATACTTCGTTATTATTTAAGGGTGCACGTGCACGTCTGATTATTTAAAATATACATGCAGATTATTTCAAGATAAGAATATATTTTATTTACACGATCACGGATTTGGTTGTATAGGCTATTAGAAAACATTAGCCTGTTCTATTCTAATTTAATTAGATATACATTATATTGCTACCTGCTGTTTTCGTATAACTTTTTAGTTATCCATGCACCTCTACTAACATCACATAGAGAATACGTAGAGTATGTTGGTAATTTATTTATATACTTTAGGTAGAACAAATGTGTAAATTGACAATGCGACATGAAAATGCTAGTAAGCCCTTTTTTAATTTTCCATATGTCCATTTACACATTACACACACAAAATAAGTAATTTCTATAAAATTACATGAGCCGTATTTTGTAGTTTTCAGGAATTATAAAAGGTATGGATCATCCATGTTAAGCATATACATAGGCTAGTATATCTAGCCAGACTAAAATTAACTCATCGTTGAGTCCCCGCAGCAATGCGCTCCGCTCAAATCGCCTTCCTGCACACGTGCACTCATCTCGCTGATGACAGCACACCTTCTGAAGGACTGCTGGTTCAGAACAACCTGTCAAAAAGGTGATTTCCACTTCAGTGTTAAGGGTCAGTTTAAAATACTCTGTTACTATTTATACATTACTTAATGAGGTCATTATTTAAAATGTAATTTTATATTTAAATGTTTTCAAACCATTACAGGTCGTGTTCTTGCTTTGTTTTATGTCCCGTGCTTTTTAACCTTACAAACAAACTTTTTTATTTGGACAGATATCATAACATAAGATCTTATGAATTTGTCGTTTCATTTAAGTTTCATTTGTTTGATTATAATGGGCTAATTGAAAATGTCTTATACAAAATTTGTTTATTTTTCTCCTATTTGGTGTTACGAGCTATAGCGAGGCTCCAACACTTTGAATCAATTATTAGGCGTCGTCTGACACTTATTTTTGGTCTAATTTTAGCTTTTTAACTAGTGTTCTTGACAATAGTACTTATACTTAGCTAGTAAATTGGCAACAATGTTAATATTTCAGACAGCAAGTAGGCCAATATTCGTCTTAATGAATAAATGTTTCAAAATGATCAGTTTAACGACTAGAAATGAACTGTTGAATAAAAATGCACAGCATTGTTATTTTTCCACTATTTCGGTCAGTCAATGAAAACTAGTATTCCGAAATGATGAAGCACGTATCGTTTTCGGGAACGCGATACTATTTATTAAATTAAATGGAAGACATGTACGGAAAACCGATGCCGAATAAAACACCGAATAAATTATATTGTCTGTACCGCCGGGATTAATACGAGACGCTATACATTTTCTAATGTAATTTTCAAAGTGATTATCTTTAGCCTCGATCCTCAGAGTGCAGTACCTTAACTTGCGTATGTGCGATTTAGCAATAAAAGAAATTTACAGTGATGTCAAACACATTGTTTTGGATGTACCAAGATTAGAAATTATATTGCATATATACCAGCCCTGTTTAATATCGTGTTTGCGATTCACAACAGCAACCAAATAATATTCTAAGTCCTAAAAAAGCACACGGTGAAGCACATTTCCTAAATTTATCTTAAAATAGTTTATTTATACACTTCAAAATTTTAAATATTCTAACATCTTAAAATATTTATTTCTGTAATGTTTTGCAGATTCAAATGCCCCACCAAAATACTAGTAAAGTCTATTAAGTCTCTCTCGGTCATTAAGATATATATCTCCAAATACTGCTTCCAAAATATAGGAAACTTTGTTCCAACACCTGAACCCACTTTTTCCGATCTAAAGTGATAGACAGTTAAAATTAATATCCTTCCTGAATAACCCGCCTTGCGGTTCGGTTTCCTACGTAGTTGTTTATTTTACAACTAGAACTGATTAAGCCACCTGTCTCATTTCTCCTTCATCATCTTCTGGAATAGCGTTGATAGCCTGTGGGCTTTTAATTACAAAGGTCGACGTCAGACGATACGACTCACTTGATGCTCAGCCTGTTCCGGAGAAGTTTCAGGAATTGTAAAATAAATCACACAGATTAATGCAAAACTGACAAGTGTAGTAGTCTCAAATAAAATGAAAACATTCTCTTGCTTTTGCACAAAACAATTTATAGTATTTGATTAACGTTTCTTAACGCATCGATTATTTATTCGGTATTTTTAGAATTACGCATACATCATGTTATAAAATTTATGTGTCCACGTTCTGTGAACCATTAGGTAACTGGATCCATGAATTTACATTAAATGAAATGTTAAAGTTGTATTCGTATTCGTTGTAGATTGCACTTTAAATTAAACGACTTTATATTGTTTTAATGATAAAAACAGGCCTATCTCACACAATCAGCACGTTCAATAGTGTGCGCTTTCTGACCTGAGTTAATTTGGTGCATAACGTCTTGTAAAGGCAGTCCACTTTAAGGTTCCAGCGCTAAAAGTTACAGTTACACTTTTCTGCCATTGGAGGAAATATTTTGGGTCTTTCTGTTTTGGCTGTTCTTATTGGACACACAAGACCCGACAAGGGATGAGAGGGTTGCCCTTAGTCCTTCGGAAAAGTGCTCCAGAAGTGTGTATCAATCAGAGTGAAAGAGGGAAGGAAACAGAAGAGGAAAGGCAGAGAGGAGGGACACAAAGCCAGACACCATCACAACAAAGTTCTCTGAGGCACTAGCTAGCGGAAGAATGTCAACTCAGCACCCATGAAGTTTAATGCTGCTAATTAGTTATAGTGATTGGATTTCTTTTTACTATATCGCTACATCTTATTCTCATTTTAATCATTCTTTGTATCCCATTCTTCTCTTGGAAAGAGTTTTTTCTTGGTTGGATTTGCCGTATAAGAAATGAGTGACAGGAGGCGATCTGCCGCCGCTCTGAGTTCGAGAGCTCACGCCTTCTCGGTGGAAGCCCTGATAGGGACAAACAAGAAGAGGAAGCTCCGCGGCTGGGAAGGGAAGGAGCTGCAATTGTCCATAGCCAGCCTTGCAACAAACGGACAGTTGGGAGACAGCGAGGATACCGCACATTGTCTGGATATGGACCCTGGTTAGTGTATGATACCCAGTTTATCCTAAAACGCAATTTTTGTAAAAAGAAAAAAAGGAAAGAAAAAAGGAGTTTTAAAATCAAATGCTGTTACACATATGTGGCACGTAAGTTTATGATTTAATGACCTATACCTGATCAGAAATTATTACACA